GAAAGGAGGAGTGTGCTGTCACAGTATGAGGAGAGCAATTGGAGTCACATAACAATGTATGTATAAATTTTTGTATGGGGAAAAAAAAAAAAGCTAACAATGTGATTAACTCCAAGATTGCAATCTCAAGGATATTTATCAAATATCTCAAAATTTTAAGGACAATCTTTATTTTACGGCATCAGTTTATTTAGCAGGTTTTCTAAGTTCAGAGGAAGAGGGATAGTTTGATTGACATTATATCATACTACGAATATAAAAAAAAAAAACCTGTTGCCTTCAAGTCGATTCCCACTCACAGCGACCCTATAGGTCAGAGTAGAACTGTCTTGTAGGATTTCCAAGGCTGTAAATATTTAAGGAAGCAGAGTGCCAGGTCTGTTCTTCCACAGAATGGCTGGTGGTTCCAACTGCAGACCTTTCATTTAGCAGCCGAGCCTTAACCACTGCACCACCAGGGCTCCTGTGAATATAATAGGTCCTTAAAATTCAAGGAGCCCTGGTGGTGCATTGGTTAAACTCCCCACTGCTAACCGAAAGGTTAGCAGTTCAAACCCACCCAGTAGCTCTTCGAGAGAAAGACCTGGCTGTTTCTGTAAAAATTATAGCCGAGAAAACCCTATGGGTTAGTTCTACACTGTCACATGGGGTTGCTATGAGTTGACACGCAACAATAAAATTCAAGTATTATTTGGCTTTATTCAAAATTTGTTTTTTTATATAATTCACCTTTGAAGTGCCTTCTGTGATTAAATAGATGGCAAATATAGAACAGTGCTTAACACTTAACATAGTTTGCTATGACATAGCTCTCATTATCCACAGATAAATAATATGCTCTTAAGTAGATTCAGCATATAAAAGACCATAAAAATGTATAATAGTGTCCCTTCTACTCTACCTTGAAGGAGTTCCAGTGTTTTACAATTTACCTATCTGAGCCTCAATTTCATCCATATGGTTGGGCTGTGGTAAAGATCAAATGTCAGAATATATAATATTTAGCTCTATCTGCTTATAGTAAAAATTAAGATAATCATAATTAATCATTCATACATTTTTAAATTTAATGCTAAAATTAAGGCTCAAAAATATATTTATGAATGTTAATTTCAGTAACACTGTGGAGATTTTCCTAAAACATTCAAGTTCATATTCATAGTCATTACTGCCCTCAGGGGACTTATACATAAGAAGATGATAAATCAAATCAGGGTAGATTCTGCCGCTCAACTCATGGGATTAATCCAGTGGGGCACTCTGTGACCCTCTCTTGGCCTTTGGTATCCATAAAATAAGTTACATGATAAAAAATGAAGAATCTTAGAAACCTATCCCCAAAACAGATGTTTGCATCACATCTTGTCTGTGCTCTATCTCTTTGAGGAGCCACATTCATCCAAACGGGAACAACGACTTTCATTTCTAGCTCTGTTCAGTTGAGTCCTCTGTGAACTTGCCAGAGAGGGCTACTTAGAGATAGTGGTTTTAAGAAACGCTGATGGCCAGCAACCAAATTAAGAACCACTAAGTCTAACGTTTGTAGAGGCCAGTGCAAATCAGGAAAATGGAAATTACTTCCAGATACTACTAATCTGCACCAGGTTTGAGTTGGGAGCCTAGGAATAAAAGATTGTGTGTCTTATTACTCATCACTTGTTCCCCCTTGTTCTTTAATTAACTCTTGTTATTTTAAAGAGTGCTTTTTGAATGTTTTCACTTAAGTATAGCAAATGATGATCTTCATTCAAACCTTTAACTCTTTTTTCTGTTCTTTTTCTCCGTAGGGATGCAGATCTGTTCCTGTTAGACACAAGAAAGGCCCAAGCTTTAGATGTGGGTTGGCTTGTCTTTGATATCACTGTGACCAGCAATCATTGGGTGATTAATCCACAGAACAATTTGGGCTTACAGCTCTGTGCAGAAACTGGGGATGGTAAGTTCTGAATTACATATATTTCTTGTGGGGCTTGTTTCGACATATTGAGAGTTGTTTTTGTGCAATTTAACAAATATATTTGTTGTACCTATAAGATACAAGTTAGCACATTCCATAGGAGAGTGTAAATGTATTAGTTGGTTAATAAATTTATCAACACATTGATTAAATACACATTTATTGTTAGGCCACCAGGGGTAAAGAAGTAGACACTATTCCTACTCTCAAGGGTTTTTAGTCTAGTGTTGAAGACTTGTATGTAAATAAGTAGCACTACTGTTAATATAACAAATACCAAAAGAAAGCTCTATGCGAAGTGTTAAGGGTTCTATGTTTTGATTGTAGCTGTGGTTACAAAACTGTATAATTTGTCAAAATTTATAGAACTGTACACTGAAGAAAGGTGAATGTTACTATGTGCAAATTATATCTCAAAAATAAAATAACCAAGAACTGTATACTAAAAAAGTACTATGGAAAGAGATGAAGCAACTATCAACAATTCAAGGGAAAGAGACGTTGGGAAGTAACTAAAGAGTTGTGAGAAACAACACAAAATAAATAATGTCAAGTTAGGTCTTAACGCGTTGTAACTTTTGATCAAAGACAACCACTACAAAATCACGTTTGCATGAGATCTATAAGAATTCTGCATTTCTAAGAAGTTTCAAAAGTAATCCATATGCCCAAAGTTATTCATTGAGCATCTGCTACGTGCTGTGCACTTGGCTAGAAGCCAGATATACAAAGGTGAACAAATGCAGATACAGCTTCAGGAGGGTTGTACAAAGTTGAGTGAAGTATTAGGAGGTAAGCACAGCACAACATTAATGAATTCATGTCACTATAAACATGAATTGTCCAATGGAGAAACAGAATGCCATTCTTGTGAATATAGAACAATAAGGGAACTTGAGCTTCAATCTGAAATTAAGGAAGTTGTGATTAGTGGAAAGAGTTGGGGAGGTGGCAGCATATTTCAGGCAAATGGAACAGAATTTTCAAACACCATGGTGAGAGAGCCACCAGGAGGCCAGGAAAGCCAAGGAAGCCAGTTTTCCAGAGCCTTGTAGGCCAAGTTAAGGTCTTCAATCAATCAGAGTCCAATTATTTGAAATTCAGATCTAGACTACTAGGTCATTTAAAATTATATTTGTCATGATAGGAAGATAGAACATAATTTAGGTAATAGTTTGTTAGCTTGATTGGTAATTTATAAATATTTAGATCTATGAGCCTACGTTGTCCTCTTGTCCCAGACCACACAAATCTTAGGGCCAAGTCTAGGGAGGGTAATTTTTAAATAGATTATTAATAAGAGTGCATGTCTTATTTGGAAGTCCCTGAGTGGCTCAAACAGTTAAGCGCTTGACTAGTAGCTAACAGGTTGGCTGTTCCAACCCACTCAGAGGTGCCTCTGAAGATAGTCTTGGCTATCTCCTTCTGAAAGGTCACAGCCTTGAAAACCCTATGGAGCAGTTCTACTCTGCATACATGGGGTTACCATGAGTCGGGATCAACTTGAGGGCAACTAACAACAACAACATGCCTTCTTTAACCGGAAACAATAGCTTTGCTCACTTTATTTTTCACAAAATCAGACAAAATAAATGTTTCATTCATTCCTCTTTACTGTATTATTCTAAAGACTTATTTCATAATCTGCAGTTAGTTGAAAGTTAGGTCTGTCTTGGGTCTCTTTTAAGTGGATTCATTTCTGTAAGCAACAGGACTGCACAATGGCATTATTTTATCTATAAACAGTTTCACAGCCTAAGGATAATATCATAACCAATGTTTTGATTCCAAGAATTGTGTATATGAAATGAGGTTGACAGACATAAATTAAGTATATTACAGGGTTAGGCTAGTGAAGATTTCATGCACCCCAGATCTCGATCTAGAAAAAGAAAATTCTTACTGAAAATGTTACTGTGTTTCCGACTTTTTCCCCCTAAAGCCAGACTTTTCCATAAATTTTAATCACATTGCTGAATTTTTAAATTCTTTATAAACAATTCAAATATTTCAAATGATAAGTTATTTTCCAATTATGGCTTTGAGATTATAGTGAAGGATCCTCAGGTTCAAGTATTATAAATGTAGACCCAGAAGAGCACATGTTTAAATAATCTTCCAAGAATTCTTACAATGTTAAACTACTGTACATTTATGGTCAGAAATGTGACTGAGAAATCGGCAATGTGGGGGAGAGCCTATAGTTTTTTTCCCTGGTATGTGGTCCAAACAAGAAAAATTAAATTAGTGGTGGTATGTGCTTCTCCCAGTTTTCTCCTTGGGGATATGCTTGAAATGTCTAACTAAACAACTCAAGAGACCTATGAAATATGATCAGCTTGTTTCCTTTTAATTTCCATATTCCCCCACCCATATAAACATTCTGAAGGGTTTTTTTAATTGGTTATTGTTGTTCTTCACTTGTCTTGGTTCTCTTTCCTTTTCTATCTATATAATTTAACTTCTATTTTGTTGTCATTTTTTTTTTTCTCTCTCTCTGGGAACTACTCTATATTTTCAGTTTTACTCTCTTCATGATTTATTTCACTTATATCGTTAAGGATAATTTTGCTTTAAGTTACTGTTATACTATTTATCAGAGTTTTTTTTGGATCCTAAAATAATGTTTTCTTCTTGCAAAATTATCCAATTCTTTTACTTAACAGTTAGTTTGAGATATATAGCCTATATACAGCCTTTTGTTGCTTTTCTCTGTCAAAGGTTCTCTAGTAGGAAGAATACTAAAGTGGTTGAATTTCCAGGCTAGCTGGCTAGGTATTTAACCAATACTTTAAAAAGATTTTAACCAGAAGTAGAGCATACATGGCCTTGGGGAAGCAAGGGACCCTCCCGGTACCTTAGTTTTACTAACTGCAACCTGATAGAGACTATACATGTGAAATTCCTCTATGACTATCAATAACCAGACGCTTCAGCCTATTATGGCTTCACTCATTCCTATTGATGATGTTCTCAAGGTGATATTACTTCAAACAGAACAACCTAATGAATTCTGAGTATGATTACTTCTCCACAAAAGGAATCAGAAATCACGAAAAGATGATGTTCAGGAAAGTCTACTTTCAAACTCATTCATTGACTATTATTAGTTTTATTTATTCATTTGTTCAACATAAAATTATTGAGTACCTATACATGTAAAACAGCATGCTAACTAACTAGAGAGGTAAAGTGCCCGAAACGCTAAAGATAATGATACAATGAAGAGGTTATAGGAAAACAGAGAAGGGGTGGTTATGTCCAAATGGGACAAAGCCGAAGGGGCCATGATAGAGGTGGCTTTTAAGCTGGTTCAGGTGGTGTCCTAGTTATCTAATGCTACATAATAGAAGTACCACATGCGTGTGGCCTTAACAAACAGAAATTTATTTTCTCACAGTTTAGGAAGCTAGAAGTCCAGATTCAGAGCACTGGCTTTAGGGAACGGTTTTCTCTCTCTCTTGGCTTTGAAGGAAGGTTCTTGTCTATATTTAGCTTCTGTTCCTTGGTTCCTTGATTTTCATGTGATATGGCATCTATCTTCCCCTATCTGTGCTTGCTTGCTTCTGTGCTAACCTGCTCTTTTATATCTCAAAAGTGATTGGTTTAAGACACACCCTACACTAATATGGTCTCGTTAACATAATAAATAAAAGCCCTATCCCTAATGGGATTGCATCTACAGGTATACCCCATTGCCATCAAGTAGATTCTGACTCATAGCTACCCTATAGGGCAGAGTAGAATGGCCCCATAGGGTTTCCAAAGCTGTAAGTCTTTACTTAAGCAAACTGTCACATCTTTGTCCCACAGAGCAGCTGGTGAGTTCGAACCACCGACTTCTCGGTTAGCAGCTGAGCACTTAACCCACTGTACACCAGGGCTCCTTTCCAGAGGCATAGGGGTTAGGATTTAAAACACATATTTGTGGGAGACACAATTCGATCCATCCACCCTTTGGCCCCCCCAAATTTATGTCCTTGCTACTTGCAAAACACATTCGCCCATCACATCATCCCAAAACTCTAATCCCCTTCCAGCATCAACACTAAATGCAAAATCTCATCCTCTAGATCATCGAAATCAAGTATGACACTGGCTGTGTTCCATCCTTGAGCAAAATTCCTTTTCATCAGATTTAAAACCTAGAACACAAGTTATTTGTTTCCAAAGTACAATGGTAGAAAAAACACAGGGAGGTCAGCTGGGTAGAATTTGAAGAGGTGGGGATGAGTAGGGAAGGATTTGTGCAGGAGTGGGGAGTGGTGTTGAGAACAGGAGGACAGAATTCATTTCTGGATGAGGAAACATTGTTAATAAAAGCACTTCCGGCAGTATATTAGGCAGTGTTCCACTGCTATTCATAATGTTTCCACAAGCCAATTTTTCAGAAGTAGACTGCCAGGTCCTTCTTCCTAGTCTGTACTAGTCTGGAAGCTCCACTGAAACCTGTCCACCAAAAGTTACCTGCTGGTATTTGAAATACCAGTGGCAAAGCTTCCAGTATCACAGCAATGTGCAAGCCACCACAGTATGACAACTGACAGACACATAATAAAAGCACAGAGTGGCAAAATGGCATGGTACGTGTATATGCTGGAAAAAGTTAATAGTCTTAGAGTTGGCTAAAATAACTTGTACGTATGGAATATGGTCGCAGGGGACATTAGGAAAGTTTTTGGGGACAAATCATGAAAGGAACATGAAATTTAACTTAAGTATAAAATATTCTTGTAGCTTGATCACAGTCATAAAGTAACTAGACTTGCTGCTTTACTCTATCATAGAAACACCACAGTCATTGTATTTGAATGAATATCAGTTTCATGAGGTCCTGCGATGTTCATGGGATGTGCATCTCTTGTTCATAATTGTGCCCTTGGTGCTTAATGCAATCCTGGTAATAGGTGTTTAAAACATGTCTCGAATGATCATTGAATCAGTTTGTGATTAAAAAGGCTTTCGTAGTCTATGTGCCA